CAAATTTTGGTCCTTCTGTTTCTCTTTGACGTGTAAACACAAAAGTCCGGTATTTCCAGTTCTAGCATAATCGTACCGAGAAAACCGAAAAAACATCGAAACGGTGAAAATTCGCCGGTCCGATTCGCGGCAGCTACGACACATCTGCGCGTAGATCACGTTCAGGCTTATATTTTTTTTTTGTGGGAAATTGATCATCACGCGTGAGATACGAACAATAACTCTGTATATTCGCGAACGAGGACACGAGTCGATCTCGCATTGCATGTTGATCGGCGAAAGTCGGGAAAGAAACCTGTGTATTCGCGCGAATTGCATGCGATAGAGAAATATAGGCAGATCAATCGTTGTTTTCCAGCCGAATAAGGCTAATGTTTCATTTGTCGTGCGACAAATTTTTTAAACGTATTGATTGGCTACAAGATAAAGGATTTCTGGAAGCTTAAAAATGTCTCTATTTTGCAACCAATTAATATGCTTGAAAATTTCGTGTGACAAATGAAATGGTCTAATAATAAGTTTCTCCTTTTTTTTAGTTGAATTTCTCGCATAGTTTATCATTACTCTTTTTTTCTTTAATGTGAAAAGAAAAGAAAAGGAAAAATGAACCGTAAAGAATGAGCCTAAAGTTTCATGTCTACGACACGCTCGAAATCGCTTCGAGATCTCAAACGGAGAAAGAATTGACCAAGCACATTGGTCATGTGACCGAATTAAGATATGATTTGTTAATTCTTTAGTAATTTCTCTGTCCGAGATCTCGGAACGATTTCTAGCGTATCGTAGATATGAAGCTTTAGGCTCATTCTTTATGGTTCATCTTTTCTTTCTTTCTCTTCACATTAAAGAAAAAAAGAGTAAAGCTAAACTATGCAAGAAATTTAACTAAAAAAAAAAAACATCGTGGACACGAGACATAAGGGAATCCTAGAGTCGTCTGTGTTTTATCGATTATTCTTCAAATAAACATTTCTCTGTTTTTATAAATTTACAAATCCTTTTGTCCACAATTAAAGTTTAAACGGAAATATAGTCCGGTCGACTTTATACCAAGAACGAAGGAAGTTGGAAAATTACAGTTTTGTTATCGACATCTGGCATCAACTTGTAACAATATTTGCTTTATATATATTATATAAGTTTTATATCTTCGTATAAAGCAATTCTAGTTTGGACTAGAGATTATACGAACAAACAATATTGAGTTCTTAGACTTAGGCTTACACACCTAATATGAATGTTTTATTAGAAAATTTATACGTATGTGTGCGTATGATATTGATATAGTAATGTATAGTAATGTGTCAATGACACGTAAATCATATATGCGTAAGTTCTACTGACTCGGTAAACAATTTTAGGATATCTTTAATAATTCGTCTTCTTACAAAACTCACGCGGTCGGATACCCAGTTAAACTCCAACTAATTTCAATGTATAATTTCTTTAAGGGTCATGGCACACAAAAAAACTTAAGCAGTAAACGAATTGACTAATCACAGTAAAGACCCGTAAGGTCATAATGTAAACATTAGTAAATTCAACATGTTGATTTCCTTTCCTTATCGCTTATGTCTTTCTTAAGTTTTTCTATGTACCATGGTCCTAAGGTCAGGAGCATTGTATTGCATAACACATTACGAATAATGTATGAGAAAATGAACTAATCAAAGTTCTTCATTTCTTTCCTATTCACGAAATAAAAGATTTTGATTGGTTGATTTTCTTAAGCCTTATGCGTAATACAAGAATCTCTGTGCTCCTACCATAAGGCTTCATGCACAATTGAAAAAGTATCGGCAGTAGCAACAGAGCATAACAGATTTCAATCTATTGAACCCGAATTTTAATATACACGACTTCTGGGTTGCGTTCGGAAACATCACCTGAGTGCTCTCCCGCGTATCGTTTTATCCTTGTTGTTCACCCAACCGAATGTTAAACAAGAATAAGATGATACACTGAGACACCCGGATAATGTTTCCGAACGCAGCCCTTATAAGTTGAAATCTATCTTGTTCCCTGTTCCTGTTGCCTGTGTTAAAAAAAAAAAGCAATTTTGCAACTGTTGTAAGATTCTTTCATATAAATGATTCTAGTTAGAATCTTCCCTGTGAGCTTTCTATAATTCGTTAGGTTTAAACTTTAAGTTTAAAACGATAAGAATTATCAATAAATAAGAAATTGATCAATCACAATCGAATGTGAAAAGAATAATCGACTACGTGGTTTGCTTCCAGCAATCGACATAGGCTGTATTTCAAATTTACTGTCAGCGCTGAAAACATGCTACAGTTCAGTTTACGTGCACTATAGATTTTCAGTACAGACAGTAAATTTTTGGAACATAGTCACAGTGTGATTTTCGTTTAACGTTAGCAAATAACAAGGATATGATTCACTGTGTTACACCGTGTCATCTCTTGCTGTAAAGCACCCTGTAATTGGTTAGTTTTTCTTGCAGCTTATGACTTAAAGCTTAGGCAATGGCTTACCATGGAAAGCCCATTAACTCTTTGCCCGATCTAAATGTATAACCAATCATATATTAAGGAATCTCACAACAGTTGCAAAGCTGCTTTTTCCGCTGTCATTGACTGCTTTCAGCAGAAAAAGCAGCTTTTGCAGTCGTAAAATTCTTGAATATGATTGGTTTATACGTTTAGATTCAGTGAGAAACTAAGGGCAAGACCAATTATATTAAAGAATTTTACAATATGCAAAGCTGCTTTTTCTGCTGAACGCAGACATTGTTTGTGATTTTCAATTGTGCATTAGTCCCGAAACAGAATAGGTGCAATGTAGAGGAATTTTAATCCGTAAGATATTGGCAATCACAGTCGAACGTGAGGAGAATAATCGACTTTAACTAAAATTAATTAGTAGAATAATCGACTAACTATGATTGATTAAGTCCCTCGAAGACTCGATGATTGGTGGATGATGAATTTCTTAAGATTTAAGGCTTACTACACCTACTGTGTTTCGGGACGTTAGATTTCTTACAGCTTAAAGCTTACCGTACCTATTGTGTTTCGTGACTAAGGCTTCATTGTCAGTCCATTATATTGTTAAGTGGGAAATTATAATATATAACATTGATGTAATGTTATTAGAAAGATGTTTTACACAGCGATGTTCTATTTAGATAAGGTCGGATCTAGCGGGTCGTCGAGTTCATTTTTATTTCCAGTTATCGATAAGACGTTAGACGTTAATCAATTAGCGCGTCTTCCGTCTCACGTGATACAGATAAAACGTGGTGGACTTCCCTCTTTCTGACGTCGTCCACGGGAATGTCGGAAGCTACCGTATCTCTTCGACTCCAGTGATCTTTTTCCAATCGCGTAGTTACATTGTGCTAAATTTACAGTCGAGTACGCCAGCTTCGAGAGATCGCTATCGGTATCTTCGCGGCGAACTTCGCAACGTCGGGACGGAGCGCGCGGAGGCCGCCCGACTCCGTTTTCAAACGCGCGAAATGACATAACTTCGCGCTGTACTATGCGAGAAGTTACACATACTTGCGCGTGCGGAAAGTTTAGAGACCCCTGCGGGATACGTGTACGCCGCGCGTCACGTGACGCCGGCGGGCGGCAAGGCGAGGGAACGGGGGGAGAGAGAGGGGTGAAACTAAGACGAGTAGGCGAGTAGGGTGTTTTCCGTTGGTTCGCGTGCATGGAAACTAGGGGGTAAGCGTTCCCCACGTGCAGCGGTTCG